TTGGCATTTCTTGACTTGGAGACACATCATTCCAGTCTCCAGCTCTGTCCTCATGCGGCATTCTCCCTGCATGCCTCTGTGTCTCTGCTTTCTCTTCTTATAAGGATACCACCCACTGGGTTAGGGCCCACCCTCATCCAGTACAATCTCATCTTAACTCATTGCATCTGCAAAAACCCTATTTCCATATCGAATCACATTCTGCGGTTCTGGATGGACATGAATTTGGGAAGGATACTATTTGTCCCAGTACAGCTCTGTGAAAGAACGTTCTGATATTGATGAGCAATTAGGAAATTGCTTTTTTTTGTTTGTTTGTTTTTTATTTTTTATTTTTTTGAGACAGAGTCTCACTTTGTCGACGAGGCCGGAATACAGTGGCGTGATCTTGGTTCATTGCAACCTCCACCTCCCGAGTTCAAGTGATTTTCCTGCTTCAGCTTCCCAAGTAGCTGGGATTACAGGCGCCTGCCACTACACCCAGTTAATTTTTGTATTTTTAGTAGAGACGGGTTTCGCCATATTGGCCAGGGTGGTCTCAAACTCCTGATCTCAAATGATCCGCCTCCCATGGCCTCCCAAAGTCTTGGGATTACAGGCATGAGCCACTGTGCCTGGCCCGGAAATTTCTTTAACTACAGAGGGGTCTTCCTGTTTACATATCAAGTATTCCTACAGAGATTACTAAGTCATTCATTCATTCATTCACTCAACAATCACTTATGGAGCATCTCCTGTGGGGCTGGAACTTTTGTAAGCAGCGGGGGTACCACTGTGGAAAGGCAACATTCCTGCTCTGTGGTACCTCCATTTCACAAGGCAGACACTTTATGCCACAGTGGTGAGACAAGCATAGATCTGAGTCACACTCTCTGGCTCGAGTCACAGTTCTGCTTCTCACAGGACTTGCCATGGGCAGTCATTTTGCCTGTCTCCACGTGTTCCCTGGTTGACAGAATCAATGCCAAGACCACCATAGCTTACAAATGTTGGGAGAATCTCCTCAAGGGAATGAACAAGGAGTGCTCCACATATCGTTCTCCATCTGATTATTCATGTGTTGGTGCATCTGACGGATCCTCAGCTGTAAAATGGATATCCTAATAATCTCTGTTATTGCTGATGGCATTAAAGAAGTTGTCAGTGTGAAGCATGAAGGGCATTACCTGGCTCACAATGAGCACTCAGCCAGTCAGTGTTAAGTGTCATCATCGTCCTGATATATATTGTGCAGGGAGGAAAATTAGGAAATTCTGCAGCTTGCTTTTGATAATTCTTGGCAATATTCATAGTGTCACTTATACTTGGAGAACTAAAAAATAGCATCACTGGAGATTTGGATTGATGGAGTACCTATGGCCACTGGACATTGAGCCTTTGTGGCAAAATCTCAGCAAGACAAAACAATACAAGAATCCAGGCACTAAGGAAGAACATTCTGGAAGATTCTCTGTGGGACTCAGAAAAGAATGCATGGCCACCAGCTGGCTACCCTGGAAGAAATGGGGCTCTACTCACCATTAAATGTGGCCAAGACCCTGGCAATCAGCTAATCTATCTACCTCTTTCTACAGGCAAGGCAGGGGCAGCCTAGAGAGGAAGGAAAGGAAGAAATGATATTGATGATTTCTCTGCTGTGTTCAGGCCATGGAGTACACACCTCATAGTCCTCACACCAGCCTAACAAGGTGTGGGAGTGAGGATCTCCATTGCACAGGCAAGGCAACGAAGGCCAAGAAAGGTCCAGGCCCATATTTGGGTCATGATAACGTGGAAACTGGCTGAGTAGCCCAGTCCTCTTTGCGCATACAAGATCATTGCTCTGTCGGGTGCAGTGGCTCCCAGCGCTTTGAGAGGCCGAGGCAGGTGGATCACAAGATCAGGAGCTCAAGACCAGCCTGGCTAAGATGGTGAAACCCCATCTCTACTAAAAATACAAAAATTAACTGGGCTTGGTGGCAGGTGCCTGTCATTGCAGCTACTTGAGAGGCTGAGGCAGAGAATTGCTTGAACTCAGGAGGTGGAGGTTGCCGTGAGTGGAGATTGCACGCTTGCGCTCCAGCCTGGGCGACACAGCAGGACACCTTCCCCAAAAAAAAAGAAAAAAAAAAAAGATGGTTGCTCTGCCCTTTTTAGTGGGGATGAATTTGTAGAGTCTGTGAATAACCGGTCAGTAAATTGCCAGTTATTTCCAGTTGGGGAAACTCCAGGACAACCTGGTTTTACCAAGTGGAAACTTAAAATATATATAGTGCCCTTGCTTCTCTGGAATCCGGCTGAGGGTCTTAGCATCATATCCTGGCCGGGACCCTCAGCTCTCCTGTGTTTCAGCTCACCTGTTTCACTTATTGATTGCTGGGCAACAAATCACCCCAAAACTTAGTGGCTTAAGACAGCACTGATAAGTCATGTGCCACAGCTCTGTGTGTAGGTAATCGGGCAGGTCTGCTGGTCTCACCTGGGATCATTCACACCACTGTGGTCAGTGGATGGTGCTGGTCTGCAGTGCCCCAGTCTTCATCCTCCAGGAGGCTGGACAGGTCTTTCCATAGCATGACTGTCTCAGGGCAGCATTCCAATAGCGTGAAGGGTAGGAACCACAGGAGCCTATCTTCATAATAGACTCCAGAACGTGGTCATCACTGCTTCCACCACATCCTACTCATCAGAGCAAGTCACAGGGAGCCTCTTTCAAAGAGCTGAAGAAATAGAGTCTCTACTTCTTGATGGGAAGAGTGTCGATGTTAGATTGCAAAGGGGAATGGACATCGGGGGATACTAGCAACTCTTTCCTGATTTCCACCAGTTTTCTGTGAGGCTAAAGCAGTTAAAGAATCACCATACTCTTCACACATAGACCTTTCCAAGCATTGGTACTCTGTCTTTGTTTGCTTCCTCTCGAGTATAAAAATTTTTAGTGGTGATGGCTTGTAGTTCAGCGTATTGCTGGGAAGTTTAAACATAATATATTTAAATCACCTGTGAAGGTGCCTCATGCAGAGTAGCTCCTTAGTCATACTGTCTGCTCTGTCATGGTGACTATCACCATCCTTCGTCCTAGTGACCATAAGAGGAGATGGACATGGAGCTTAACATAGTGTGCAATGGCTTCTCCCTGGTAGCCACCATCATGTCCCTCAGGTCCCCAGAAAACTCGTTAGTGGCCCTAATTTTGGCCCATCCCAACGGCCCTGTGCACCTTTTAGCATAAATCGTGCAGACTGAAGTTCAAAGTTGGAAGAGCAGGGGCAGATTCTTGGGTTGCACTAAAGTCTTGGGCTCTATTGACTTGGCTGTCCAGGTCAAAATTGGGGGATTTCACTGATACAGCTGCATTCTCAGGACTCTAAGCCACCCACAGTCTGGCCTGGAGGATGCAGTGACTCTGGGGCTCTGAATCCATGTGAAGCAAGTGGCCACAGGTGTTGAGAGAGCCAAGAATGGCGTAGACTGGAGGGTGTGCTCTGAAGCACACTCAGCATTATGGGTGTTCAGTGCAGGAATGATTCTTCTACTTGTGTGGCAGAGGAGTGTGTGGGGCTATGAAGAATTGTCAAGCTTGGGGCCAGGCACAGTGGCTCATGCCTGCAATCCCAGCACTTTGGGAGACTGAGGCTGGCTGATCACCTGAAGTCAGGAGTTCAAGACCAGCCTGGCCAACATAGTGAAACCCTGTCTCTACTAAAACTACAATAATTATCCAGGCATAGTGGCATGTGCCTGTAATCCCAGCTACTCGGGAGGCTGAGGCAGGAGAATCGCTTGAACCTGGAAGGTGAAGGTTGCAGTGAGCCAAGATTGCACCACTGCATTCCAGCCTGGGAGACAGAGTGAGACTCTGTCTCAAAAAAAAAGAAGAAAAAAAAATTGTCAAGTTTGTACCAGCAGAGATGGAATGGAGAGGGGAGAATTCCAGATGGCCCCAGCCCAAGGAATGCTTGTGGCAAAAAGCAAAGAGTGAATTGTTGGTTTCTCAGGAGCCCCCTCCAGTTATGAAGGAGTGAGGAGTAGGAATCAGGCTGGAAAAGCAGGTTGGCACTGGGCTACGAAGAAGCCCAAAAGACCAGTGTATGAATGGGGGCTTGGTTCCGGGGGCTAGGAGGCAACGAGGACACCACCTCATCTGTAGCCTCAGAGTAACCATTCCATAGCCCTGCGCCCCCAGTTTCTCTATAACTTTAATCACAATTAATATTATCCATTTACATATAAAAGAAGGGCCACACTGAACTTTCATGAGTAGTGGTGGAAGTAAGGCAGGAAGCCAGCAATATGTGCCACCAATCTGTGAAGGTCTCTGAGTCTCTAGGTGCTGGAGATGCAGACGGTGGCAGAGCAGGGCAGACTGCCCTCCTGTTTCCTGGTCTAGGTGGACAGTGAGCACTGGTTTGTACTGGGAGGGACTAGCCTTTGGGGAGAAACTTTTGCTCTTAGAATTCAGAGGAACACACACACGTTCCCAAGCACTTCCTTTTCCCCTCTATTGAAGCTGCCAGCTCTCTGCCCTGGTGCCTCCTAGACTGTGAGTGATTTAGGTTATGTCTCTTAGCAGTGCTGAGCAGAGCACTTTATACATCATGAGGTCTGGATCTGTGTGTTTTGTGTGTGTGTGTTTGGAGACAGGGTCTCGCTCCGTCACCCAGGCTGGAGTACAATGGCACAGTCATACCTCAATGTAATCTTGAGCTCTGGGGCTGAAGCGATTCTCCTGCTTCAGCCTCCCAAGTAGCTGGGATGTCAGGTGTACACCACCATGCCTACTTAATTTTTAAATTTTTTTTAGAGATGGGGCCTCACTATGTTGCCCAGGCTGGTCTTGAACTTCTGGCCTCAAGCAATCCTCCTGCCTCAGTTTCCTGGAGTGCTAAGATTACAGGCATGAGACACTGCACCCAGCCTGGATACATGTTGGAATGGGTGGATTTATGATCTACTTGTAGCCAAGTGGAAATGTTCCAGGCAAGTTCTGAGTTCTTATTCCTCTTGTGTCCCCTCTGCAGCTGGAGCTCTCAAACACCGCTGTCCTACACCAGATGCGGCGGGACCAGGTGACAGACACGTGCCGAGCCAACAGCGCCACAAGCCGAAAGCGGAGGGTGCTGACCCCCAACGACCTGAAGCACTTGGTGGTGGATGAGGACCACGAGCTTATCTACTGCTATGTGCCCAAGGTGGCCTGCACCAACTGGAAGCGGCTCATGATGGTGCTGACCGGGCGGGGGAAGTACAGCGACCCCATGGAGATCCCGGCCAATGAAGCACACGTCTCCGCCAACCTGAAGACCCTGAACCAGTACAGCATCCCAGAAATCAACCACCGCTTGAAAAGCTACATGAAGTTCCTGTTTGTCCGGGAGCCCTTCGAGAGGCTGGTGTCCGCCTACCGCAACAAGTTCACCCAGAAGTATAACATCTCCTTCCACAAGCGGTACGGCACCAAGATCATCAAACGCCAGCGGAAGAACGCCACCCAGGAGGCCCTGCGCAAAGGGGACGATGTCAAGTTCGAGGAGTTCGTGGCCTATCTCATCGACCCACACACCCAGCGGGAGGAGCCCTTCAACGAACACTGGCAAACCGTCTACTCACTCTGCCACCCCTGCCACATCCACTATGACCTCGTGGGCAAGTACGAGACACTGGAAGAGGATTCTAATTACGTCCTGCAGCTGGCAGGGGTGGGCAACTACCTGAAGTTCCCCACCTATGCAAAGTCTACGAGAACTACTGATGAAATGACCACAGAATTCTTCCAGAACATCAGCTCAGAGCACCAAACGCAGCTGTACGAAGTCTACAAACTCGATTTTTTAATGTTCAATTACTCAGTGCCAAGCTACCTGAAATTGGAGTAAAGGGGGTGGGGAGAGGGAGAGAATCATGCTTTTTAATTTAAGATTTTTATTTGTCAAAAGAATTATATGGATATTGGGTTATTTTGTAAATTAATATTTCTTTGGGGATGATGCTGCGAGCAGCATAGTGAGAATTATTTAAAATCCTTCGTAGGGAAGGACAGCTGTCTTGGCAGGGGAAATAAGATGGGTCGTCCTTTGTCTGTAGAAGTGAATACTGCAACACTGTCTCAAAGGTTTCCTTGTGTTCTGGTGAATTCCATGAATTGTGCATTCCATAAATTCTAATTAATATTATTTATAGTTATTTAAACATGGTCTCATTATTTCTTTTTGTGGCAGCAAAATTCTAATGTCTTTCCAGAAGAAATCTGTTTCCTGCTTTGCTTGCTACAGCTCATTTGGAGGCATGAATGTTCTCCTTACTAACCTCTCATGGAGTCATGTGATAACAGCCATTGTCATGTGTACGAATGCCACCGTTCTTGATTTTCTGCTAGAAAGAAGTAGGTTGCTATTGCACTTAGAGGCGTCTTTGCAAGGGACTTATACCAAACCAATTTCAATCGACCTGAAAGTCCCTTGCACTAAAGAAATGTGATTTTTTTTTTTTTTAACTCAAGGAGAGAGTTGATTGTAGCAGTTTTTCACCAGAATTAGTAATCTGATAGAATAGGCTTTTTTAACAGGAATTCTAAGCTGGCAGTGCCAGTTGTAGTGAAGGTAAAGTTGCTGTTGCTTTATATTCAACAAGTATTTATTAAGCATCTACTATATACTAGGCCCTGAAGATAGAGTGTTGAACAAACCCAAGAGTCTTGGCCCTCAAAAAGCTTTACGTGACACAGAGCATCCAGTTTGACAATTAGCAAACTCTTGATATTCATGGACTTGACATGACGTTTGGACTATTCATGAGCAACACCAGAAGGTCCATGACCCCTACAAATTTGCATTTTTCTATGGCCCAAATTTGAAAACCTCACATTCGGAGCAGGCCACTTATTTTTGTGAGTGATTCCAATCTCATTGCCCAACAGAAAAGATGCTAAAAAATGTTTCCTATCATGTGCCTGCTCCAATTGATGGGTAATGTCTGCCTTTAAACCCCAGAATGGATTCTCCAGGCGCAGTGTGGAAGGGTACTGTGGTTGATTAGCAATGTCTGCCTTGGGTGAGGAAAGGGGAACACTCCTCAAGTGCCTCCCACTGTCATCTCCATCCAGCCCAGCACCACATCCCCGTGTAGAAGTGTAGTCTTCTACTGCTTGCCACATACAAGTGTGAAATGCCGAGGTGAGACTCGTACACTCGGGGATTTGCAATGGTTTTTACCCCTCATGAAGGCCAGAGGTGGACTATTTGTACACATATGCACATGAAATACCCTCTCACGTCCTCCAGAGGCTGAAAGATCATCAACACCTCGGTAACTGCCATGCATGAGCAAAAAGGACAGCCTTCCATGCTCTTAATCCATGCCCCATTTCCTCTGGAAGGCTGGAAACTTTTCATTTCCTGTTCCTTGCTAATTAACATCTAAACACGCTTCTCATTTCCAGCCATTGCCGATGCTTCTTGGTTGAAGTTTGAGCCACATCCCTCTTACAGCTAGTGAATGAGTTGGTAGCAGATACTGTATATATTAATAATAGTTTTAATAATACAGGAGGGTGGGATGGGGTGTGGGTAAGTTTTGCCTTTTGTTTTGTTTTTGATGCAGTATATAGTGAAGGGGTGAGGATATTCTAAACAAACAAAAAATGAATAATTTATTCACAGAAACTATTAAGATTGTATTGTAAAGCTCACAGCAAGCTCAGTGGGCAGCAGCTGCAACATCTCACTGGGGAAATTATTTTATTTAACATGAGTGAGATGTGCGCCGGAGAAGGCAGCCGAAGCTATTTATAAAACGTGTACCTTCTTCCGAGCTCTCTCCCCTTTGTGAAGGGCACAGCAACTCTACCCTTGATGGATAGAGATTTATGCAATGTGTTTTACCAGGTAGAGTGACAGACCTTGGCTGTCCCTGGAATTGAGAATCTAGACCTTATTTCCAGGCAGGGAACACTGTCCTCAGAAATGGGACTTCCGATTATGAAACAAGGTAACCAACATCTTCTAATACATACAGAACACAGGTTCCAGGGCGCATCGGGTTGGTGTGATACAGACTAGGGTTTTGTGGTCAAATATGCTTAAGAAACAAAGTTAAGTCAGTTTCCTTTCTGCAGGACTTTTCAGAGCCTTGAATGCGTGCTGTGCATGGTGAATACCCAAGAACAATCCTTGAGTCTGTAGCATTTCCTGAACTTACATGACGAGGATACTCTCTTTTGCAGATCACCCCACAGAGTTCGGGTTCCACCGAATATACTTTGCTTAGGTTGATTTAGCATATCTGAGGTCTTCAAGGATGAAAACTGCCACCCCAACACCCTTCCATTAAAAAAAATACAAAATAGCACCACAGTCTTGTCTCCATCTGGTTTATAGCAACAGAGGTACTTTATTAAATGAATTAAGCTTTTACTTAAGTGCAATGGTTCTAATCCTGGATACTGCCATGGACTACGATTCCATCCCTCCCAGAGGGAGTGGAGGAAGTCTTGGGTGGTGTGGACAGAAGGAAGAGAAAAGAGGACAAGTGGGTATAGAGCCCAGGGTGGCTCCCTACTCCTCAAGCTCAAAAGGGTGCTCAGTGGGAACAGATGATCTCTGAGATGAGATGAGTGCTTCTTCAGTTTCGTAGTTTGGAATCATTCACTGTGTGCTTTTTGGGATTTTAAATGGAAATTCACATAGTTTTGCATTTCTGTGTCCGTCTTTGATCGGTTGTGCAAGTCTGCTCACTGTCATGTGCAGATGGCCTTCTTTCATCTGGCTTCTCTCTCTTAAGTGAGAAAGATTGTCCTTCAGGGGACATGACATCAATAGGCTTCTGGAACGAGGGACTCTCTCTCCCCATGTTTTGCTTGGTGTTCACATTTTCTTTTCTAATGGCATTGAAACTTTAAAAAATATGGATTCAACTGTTTTTGCAACATGTAGAAAGTATTCTGTGTCCTTGGTTAAAGAAATCTGGTGAAGTGTGCCTGAAAGATGAAAGTTTGTGTTTTTTACAGAGGACTATTTGAAACTGCTCTCTCTGCATGCTTAGTTGGAGAAAAGTACAGGCAGGCATGCCACCTCCCAGCCGCTTCTCAAAGGTGCTGCTGTGTCTTAAAGACCAGGTACAGGCAGGGCAGTATTTGCAAGGACATTCCTGCTTGCTTTATCCCGTTGGTTGGAAAGCTCTAGATGATTCCCGCAGCTCCTCCAGATCCCCGCTCCCTGCCCTCCCCAGCTGGTCTGGGAAGAAGGTGATCTGCTGACCTGTGGTGTCTCAGAGGGGACGTTCCTCCTCCCCACTGTGCACCAGGCGAGCTGCACCCACCTGCTTGTTCAGGATGTGGATGCCACAGGAGAGCAGTGGGCAGTGGAAACTGCAGTTGCACCAGTTCTCCTGGTGGCGAAGGCATGGAAGCACAAGGGTCTAATCCATGCTACTAGAAAGCTCCACAGCAAAGTGTACGGGTCCCATGAATGGTTAACTGGTGGGGTCTGGACCAGTGCTGAGACAGTGTTGGCAGAAGAAGCAGAGGCACTCTGCTTGCTTTCCTAGTCAGTCCTCCCCTACACACACACACACACACACACACACACACACACACACACACACACATCTCAGCTGCCCCATTCTGTGCAACCCCAGTGACCAAATCCCTTCCTTCCTTGCCTACTTCTATGTCAGCAGGACTGAGCGCGTCACTCCCCCGAGTTCCCACTACCCGCGTTTCCTCCAACCTTTTTCCATCACAACCAGTTAGAACCCTACAGGCAACAAGGCCTTCCAGAATCTGCTTGACCCTTGGCTGAAAACATGCAAATTTCAGTCTGCTTCACTTTGTTAGGTCCAGAAGGAGCTGCCCATACTACTTTCTTATGAGCATGCTCAGTATGACATATGGACATGTAATTTCACATCTTCGTGGAGTGTGATTTTCTTTTTTTACATATTTGTATGCAGTAGAGGGCCTGTTGTAGAAAACTCTCCCTGTATCTTGCTGTACTGTTAAAGAAAGCTGAATTCCACATTGCCAACAAAAGCGTGAAAAATGTTCATGAACCTTCCTCCAGGAAAAGCCATTCAAGCCTGATTATTTTTCTAAGTAACTTCAATTAAATTGAAGAAAAAAAGAAGCTGCTTTCTGTGTATGGTTTGTTCATGGCTCATTAACAGAAGACTATAGGGGTGGGGTGGGCTGTGGGCCTCAGCATGTGGGGGGCCCTGCTCATGTGTATCAAAGGAGGGAGATGCTGGCTCCATTGGCCAACTCAGCCCTGGTAAAAACCTGGTAAAAAAGATCTGAATTCTTTCTGTTTGTTGGATGAATGGAAGCTTTTCTTCATTCCATTTTTTCTATAAATTCTTTGTAGAGTAATGCATTAGAAGGTCCACTGTGATCACACAGTTCTACCACTCGTGAAAAGTAAGGCCATGAAGACTGTCAGAGGGTAAATGGCTTTGGTGGCAGAGCCAGTATTCAAGCCCAGGTTGATGTGCCTTCAGAACTCCATGTTTTTGGCACTAAATGACATACCTCTCTAAATGACCATCCATGGTGCCACTGCTAGGAAGTTGCAAGCCTACACTTCAAGTTCCAGTTTTTCCAATTCCAAATCCAATCCTTTTCTGATTCCCCACATAGCTTCTTTTGGCTCTATGGATGAGCATCTTTTAGCTTTATTGGTAAAAATGATTTCTGTACATTTTTCCAAAGAGGAAATTATACTCAGTGTTGTTTCTGTATTTCATTGTATTCTAATTTATTTTTCTCTTAAGAGCCACTCTGTCACCCAGGATGGAGTGCAGTGGCACAATTATAACTCACTGCAGGCTTGACCTGGGTTCAAGCGATCTCCTGGCTCAGCCTCCAAAATACCAAGGACCACAGGCATGTGCCACCATGCCCAGCTAACTAATTTCTCTAAACATAACATCTAAAGCATTTTTAACATGAAAATATTGGGTAAGAAAATAGATCCTGTTTTCAACCATGCTAGATACAGTTTTCAATCACCAGCTGGCTTTCCCCACTGGTACCCTGGTGCCCACCCATGGACACAATATCCACAAAGACTAGGAACCATTGGCTAAGAATATGTGGCCAAGAATACATTGCTGGTGTCATCACTGTCCTCGCTGTGGTCCGATCTGGTTGGGAAATGCCCAGACCACTGAGCTTAGTCATCTTAGATTAATAGAAAACATACATCCTTTTTCATCAGTGAATGGATGTGACTTTGCCATAGCCTGTCTCTGTCTCATTTGGGACATTGTAAATGTCAGTGGGAAGCAAAGCTGGGCGAGGTCATCTCTAGCCTGTTTGCTCCCCTCGGAGTGAGACTGACCTGCCTCCTTGCCTGCTAATTGGGAGGTGTTTCTGATGGTGCCCCAGGTGCCCTCAGTCCGACACTGCAGATGCCGCAGAACCCGAGGAGCCTGTGGCCCAGAACATTGCCAGGGCCAGGTCAGGGTAAGGTGATTATTTATCCCCCACCAAGTGGACAAAAACAGGATGAGGCAGAATCATTAGTGTAAGATGTAAAGTGCTCTTTCTTGGGAAGTGCTCCCTTTTCTCAAGTTATGACTTTCCTACATTTTTGGTATTAGAATACCTTTTCTTTCATGATAATAAACATTAATTGATACTAGGACATAATGTGTTGGTAACTTAGGGTCAGCCCCCAATGACATTTTAAACATTTTCTGGAAAAGTCATGATATCCCAAAAGACCAGGAACCATTGGTCAAGAATACACCTGCGGCATGAAGTGATGGGAGGGAAGCCTCAGGGCTTGGTGAACAGAACTCTGGGGAAATACCTTCTGAAGCACAGTTCTAAATGTCCCACACCTGGACCCCACATTGTGGTGAGTGGCTCTGGCCGCCGGGTTCTGGGGTGACTCACAAGAAGCTGAACACGGGGCTAGCTACATTCACTATAGATCGTTTATCAAACATCTTGGGTCTGGGGTGATGAAAATGTCTGCTGTAACACGAAAAAGGAAAATTCTAGCAAGGCTATATGAGAAAAACAACCACCTTTTCCCTATTTCACAATCTTCACCTAGCACCTGCCTCTTCCCCAGATTGTAAGAACCCGCAGGTGCAGAAAACAGCCAGCAGATGTGAGTGGAGGCAGCCTGCTGGTTCCAAATGCGTTGCTGGCTGAGAACCGCTCCCAAACAAACTCCCTTCGTCACTTACTCTTTAAAACAGAGACAACAATAATGTCTGGATTGTGCCACAATTGGAGAGAACGCTTGCCTACCTGCAGCTCATCCGCCAAGGAGCTGTTTGCAACGTAGAGGTAATTACTTCCTTTGCGGGGAGGGGACCTCCATTTCCTCAGCTGCAGAACAAAAGAATTGAGTTATATCTGTGGTTTTTCATGTCTTTTTTAATGAGCCTCTTAAAAATTTTTGCATTCTGAACACTCATTTGTAAAACAGATGAGGCAGAGATGCTGTCATGGAGTGGTTCGAGGCCCAGCTCTGCCTCTTTTTTCCCATAAAGTCCTATAAACCTTCATGGGCCGCAGGGTTCTAAGGAAAACAGTTTGAGAAACGCTAAGTTAGGTGACCTCTGAGCCTCTCCTGCAGCCGTCAAGAGTTGCACTCATTCTTTCATCCTTGCAAACATATATTAAGCATCTGCTTATGTCAACTCCTGTACAAGATGCCAAGAATATGGGAATTCTTAAGATTCAAGATCAAGTGGACGACATAGAAACATTAACAGGTAGTTGTTGGGTGTCTGACACATGCATGAGGACAAGACACCAAAGTCCCCTTGGGAAAGAAGTGATACAAGTCAGTAGCTAGAGAGACAAACCGTGGTTCTCAACTAGGGGTGATTTTGCCTTTCAGGAGATCGATCCCCACCACAGAACATTGCTCAGTTCACAATGTTAATAATGCCAAGGTTGGAAAGCCCTAATTTGAAGAAATATTAATTCGGGATAACATCTGTGGCTTTTAGTAACTGAATGGAAATGTAGGTGAGGAAGAGGGAAAAGAGGGAAGGAGGATTGTCACGAATCGAGCTTGTACAACCGCAGCTGGATAGTGGGGCCGTTATTGGTGGTCAGTTAATTAGGAGCAGAAACAGGTTTTGGGGAAGACTATAACCTAACTATGAGACATGCTGAATTAAAGTTCAGGTAAAACATCCAGGGGAAGTTGGAGTGGTTCTAGAGTCTTACTACTCAAAGTGTGTGGTTTGTAGACCAGCAACATGGACATTATTTGGGAGCTTGCTAGAAACCCAGTGTTTCAGGTCCCACACCAGCCTTCCTGCATTTTAGGACTCTCCCCAGGTGATTCCTATACACATTTCCATTTGAGAAGCCCTGGTCTAAAGCACAAGAGATAGCCTGAGGAGAAGCCGTGGCTTTGGGAGATGGGGTCATCTTGCGTTACTGTTTATTCTTCCAGCAACCCTGAGATGTGTCTGCTCAGGTCGGCTGTGTCTGGTTGTGCAGGTTGCACACCACAAAGGTAGGCCCAAGATGGGGTTGACATTTGTCATTTACCCTTAAGAACTGGATGCCTTTTTCTTACCCTGCTTGCCAAGTTATGGGCTCAAGGGCTGTACCCACCCAGAAAGTGAATTGTCTAATTTGCACAAAAGCGCTATGACTTAGCGGTGGCCCTAGATATAATGGTTTCACATCCCTTTATCTGCAGTTCTGAAATCCACAAAACTCTGAAAACGAAATGTTTTTTCATAATTTGCAGCAAGCTCAGTTGGCAGAGAAACCTGATCTTAGCTAACGTGAGACAATTACAGTCTTTATCCCACTTACTGTGAATATTCACCCATTTTCGTACAGAAATATTCATGTGTTTTATTATGAGAGTTCAGCCCCATATTCTACAGGGGTATTAAGAAATACATGATATTTGCACAGTATTTCTGAGGGGAAAAAAATCTTAACTCTAAAATGCTTCTGATCCAAGGGTTACAAATAAGAATCGTGAATTCGCACTACTCTAATTTTACAAATGGGTCGACTGAGGCTCAGAGAGGTTAAGTCATTGCAAAACTAGTAAATGATAGAGCTAAGGTTCATTCAGACCCCATGCTCGTTTGGCATGACACTAGCTTCAAGAGGATTATTAATGAGCTAGACACTGCTCAGTTAACAGTCCACGCCTTTTTTTTTTTTTTTTTTACCACCCATGTGGATTTTCAGACAGAAATACGGGTAAGGGGCACAAGGGGCATAAAATAATCTGCTTTTTATGTGGGTCTGCCATAGCAGAACACCAGCTCCTACACCTGAGCTGTATTTTTCCAAACAAGCCTCCACGTGTTCTGAGAGCATTCAGCCCAAAGCCAGGCACCCCTGTGCTGGAAGCATCCGCCAATTTCAGCCTTACTGGTAGACACAGAGAATCCCGGCTATATTATAAAAGAATGAAAGCAGGCAAATTCTCCTGTTAGATCTGTGATTGAGATGAGGCGAGCTACAGTAGAACAGCGAATCATCTTCTGTTGTACTATTCTTATTCACCAGAGATACAAGTCTCCATCAGCGGCAGCAGGATCCAAATGCCAATTCCTTTTTTTAAAGGACATTGGCCCGCTTTGGAGAACAATGCCTGTCATTGCTTCAGAACCAAGGGTGGCTCCCATTTCTCAAGAAAGAATAGGCTTTATTCTTCTTCCAGAAATAAACCTAATAAATTATTAGCCAGATGAGAGTCAATGTACCTCCCTCTTTGAAGTGTTGCAAACTCTGAAATTATATTCATGTGGTATACCCACATCTGTCTTCTTGCCTTTTGAGCTTACATGTTGGGGTGTTGCCACAAGGTGAATGTTGGAAATTTGGTATCTTGGCACCAAAATCAAGAATTATTCGTTATTCATGTAAATGAATTTAAGCTTTCCTTAAAATATTTGTTTAAAAAAACCCTTATTTAAGTATATAATGCTGAGTATTGAACTCAAAATCATTTTGTGATTCATTTCTGATTCTTTCTATTGTGTATACATGAATTACATATTTATGTGTATGTATCACTTTATTCTATATACGCATTCCTATATCTTCTTTGGAGAAATGTTTATTCAAATCATAAGTCCTTTGTGAGAAATGTGTTTTACAAATATTTTCTCTCAGTC